GTGTCCTTTCTGAAAGGGACAGTTATCACCTTTCAAAATGCCAGCTTGCAAGAAGGCCCACCCGGTTGGCCAGTACTTTCCATTTTTCAAAAGAAACACAAAATCCACATTTTGAATATGAAATCTCTTGATTTTTAAATGCTGCTATTAATAAATTACTTTAATTGGAAAAAATATTAAATGGACCCCACAAAACTACATCTGCATCCTAAACTTGGTTTGCAGGCCATGAGTTGAAACCTCTAGGCTAGTGTTTCTAGTAACACAAGTAGTGACACCTTGGATAAAATATTTAGCCTCAATTTAAACCCTTAACATAAGCAAGGGATTGGATAGAGTCCAGAAACTTTCTACAAGATACCTGTGCAAATTAATTAACAAAAATCTCAACAATGCCAGAAACTAAAATTCAAAACAAGCTCCTGCTTTTTGAGCATTATTGTTGTTATTCAGTTGGTAAGTTGTGTCTGACTCTTTGTGACTCCATGGACAGGAGCATGCAAGGCTCCTCTCTCCTCCACTATCTCCCAGAGTTTGCTCAGATCCATTACCATTGAACTGGTGATGCTCTCTAACCATCTCATCCTCTGTCACCCCTTCTCCTGCCCTCAATCTTTTCCAGCATCAGAGTCTTTTCCAATGAGTTGGCTCTTTGCATCAGGTGGCCAAAGTACTAGAGCTTCAGTAGCAGTCTTTCCAATGAACATTCAAGGTTAATTTCCTTTAGAATTGATTGGTTTGCTCTCCTTGCACTCCAAGGGACGCTCAAGAATGTTCTCCAGTGCCACAATTTGAAAACACCAGTTCTTCAGCGCTCAGCCTTCTTTATGGTCCAACTCTCACATCTGTACATGATGACTGGAAAAGCTTTGACTATACAGATCTGTGTTGGCAAAGTGATGTTTCTGCTTTTTAGTACACTGTATAAGTTTGTCATAGCTTTCCTTCCAAGGAGCAAGCATCTTAATTTTGTGGCAGCAGTCACCATGTGCAATGATTTTGGAGCCCAAGAAAATAAAATCTGTCACTGCTTCCAATTTTGCCCATTCTATTCACCAGGAAGTGATGGGACTAGATGCCTTGATCTTAGTTTTTTAATATTGGGTTTCAAGTGAACATTTGTTTACTCTCCTCTTTCACATTCATCAAGAGGCTCTTAAGTTCCTTTTCACTTTCTGCGATTAGAATGGTATCATCTGCATATCTGAGGTTGTTGATGTATCTCCTGGCAATCTTGATTCCTGCTTGTGCTTCATCCAGCCCACCATTTTGCATGATGTACACTGTATATATGTTAAATAAGCAGGGTGACAATATACAGCCTTATCATACTCCCTTCCCAATTTTGAACCAGTCTGTTGTTCCATGTCCAGTTCTAACAGCTGCTTTTTGACCCACATACAGGTTTCTCAGGAGACAGGCAAGGTAGTCTGGTATTCCCATCTTTTAAAAAAATTTCCACATTTTGTTGTGATCCACACAGTCAACCCTAGAGATAATGAAGAATACTAATGACAAAAAACTTTTAGTAGTAAGAATACTAATGACAAATGAAGGCCTCAGCACTTGTATGTCAGTATATTTTCCCTGAAGAAGAAGCTGCATCTTCCTACTCTGCCAGAGATAGGCCTCAACTCAGAGTCAAATGCACACAACTTGACTCAAAGGGAGAAGAAACCAGGAAAGCCTGCCACCATCACCTCCCAGGACCCTCAGCAAGGGTTCTGGGGTCACAGACTCTTACCTTTCAGAGGCGTGTGATCCGTGCTCACAGTGAATAACTGTAAGTGTGTAAAAGGACAGACATTTGAAAATATGTCTCCCTCCAACTCCCGACCCTCAACTACTTCCCAGCTGGGGAGATGTTCTCCCCATTGGCAATTCTTATATCTTCTCAAAATATATCTTTAGAAGAGCTGTTGAGCACATGTACATTGAAGGGGAAACCTGTTTTAGAAGCACATGTTCTTATAGAACTTTAGGATTGGAAGGGATCTAGTTCAGCCCTTAATTCACAGCTTCCCTTAGTACTGCTCCTGCATCCAAATCTCTCTATCGATAGACAAACACCCTTTCCACTTGGAGGCAGCTCATCCCACTTCTAGAAAACTCCAGTAGTTTATAAAAGATAATTTTTAAAGTTCTGAAATCTGCCACTCTGGTGTTTTTCCTCTTCAATTCTTGCTTTGACCTCAAAGGCCAGCGAAAACAGGTGGCCAAATGCCTTTTGCCTAAAATGGAACTTAAAATATTTGAAGCCCTCCCATCGTCACCCTGCCAAATAACCCTGGCTTCTCCTCCCCTTCCACAGGGTGTGTGGTTTCAGGGGATTCTCTGCCCTGTGCCCTCTAGAAAGGATTGAACTCTTACTTAAAATACTCAGAAACCTCTTCAAAGAGGAGAACTGCTCATTAGAGGAGAAAAAGAGTTTCCAATTTGTAGCTGGCAAAGTAATGAACAAATCTGTGTTATGAAAATGGATGGATGACAGGAGATTTAATGTGGGAAATGGTTGGTGTGCAGGGAGGCTTTATCTAGGAATTTGGCGGCCAAGGAGAAATTTTGGTTGTACTCTCCCTAAAAAGTTTCCAAAATATTCTGAAATAGAATTGGGGGCCTAAAGTCTCTATGTGCCTCAGGTTTGGAAAAGTGGCAATATGACAGTGATGAAGGACACTGCCAGGGTTTAGGTTTAAAACTGGCCTCATGAATAGCAAGGACGCTTTGAGACTTTGGGCAAGTTATTTACTTGACATTTTCTTGCCATAAAAGGCAGACAAGTAACCTTGCTCATGGGTGGTCAGATAAGTGAATTTCTGAACAGTACCTAGTACAGTGGAGTCAGAGCTGCTTCTGCTTTTCTTGTGGTGGTGATGGTGGTGGCAGATTTTGCTTGGGCTATGGCCTGCGATGTGACCTGGGATCACTTTCTTCAGAGGCTGAGTACCCAAGCATCCTCTACAAAGGGCCCAGTCTGGGAAAAGCTCTGTTCTCTCAGGATATCATTTCTTCTAGCTCAGTCACACAGTTCTTTACTTAACAAGTAACACATTTATGAGTACACACCCCTCCATGTATCCATCAAAGAGCATAAAATCATCCTGAATGTCACCCCTCATATCACAAGCTCAGGACATGTCATATATCTGTCCCAGAAGGATGGTGAAGCACACTCTCCTCTCCAGTCACTGGACCCACCCCGTACTGACTCGTGTGCCACACTGTCTTTTCAGGTAATTGTTTCCACAAATCTCTCCTTCTTGAGACATCATCAGGTCATGTGGAAGGATGTACTGTGAAGGTTATTGCTGTTGACCTCTTTCGGGGGTCTTATGGGAGAATTCCTGTACTACCATCAAATTGGTGGTAGCTTCGTGTTTTAATGGACAATATGATCTGTGCCTCCGCACAAATGTTTCTTCAACAAAGGCTTAGGGCTCAGTCTGTGGCCCTTGTGGAATACATGCCTGGAACTTCTGTGAGCGGATCAGCTGTGAGAAGTACCCCTGGCTGCCCTCGATGCCCACTGCTGTGTGCCCCTGCGCTCTTCTCTAGCAGACGGTACTTTCCTGTGGTTGTTTTACAAACTACTTTAAGTCCTTGCTTGGAGTGTTTGGAGGGGACTGAAGCCCTGGCCTGCAGAATCTACACAGTCTTCTTCATCCAGGGGCTGGATGAGTTCAGCAGGCTCAGTGGTCATCCTGATTCATTAAAATGAAGAACAAACACAAATAACTCTACATTTAAAGGAGCCCCAGGTTCCATGGACTTGCTGCCTGGGAAGGAAAGATGCAAGTTCTGCTCCTCCCACCATAGGAAAGGTCCTGCTCTAACTCCATTTATTGTAGGTTTGTGATTCCAGCTTAAGTATCAGGGAGACCAGAGCTAACCCACCTGAATGTCACAGTGGATCCTGTGAAGAGGAGTCTGACTGTAGATGGTGGAGGATGTCTGTCCTGGAGGAAGAGGAGCAGTAGGTTAGGGTGGGCTTTGCTGAAGGAATTTAGCTAAAAAGATCCTGCAGCCTGAGAAAGCCTAATTTCTTCCTGCCCAGTCCTTAGTGGGTTTCTCTTTCTGTTGCTTGAGTTACAGCGTGGTTGTCTCTGGGCAGAGAGGCATCTAGCTAGTATTTATGTTAAGCCTTTATTCTAAGCGCTTTGACTTTCAGAAGTGATTTACTTCATGTACCCCTGGCATACTCCTTCGGTGCCCACGCATTCATTCAACAAACATTTTTCCAAGGCTAGTCTCTGCCAGGAGTTGGGTGTCCTTGTTTCATTTGAATTCGAGGGTGCTTGACGCGACCTGAAGGACCCTCGGGCTTGAGAGCGCATCTCAGAGAGCAGGCACCCACCCCAGCCACGTGGGCGCCGCTAACGAACGTCTTAGCCGCCAGGCCACTTCCGATCCCCACTGGGATCCCAGGGTGCTCAGAGGAGTTGGGTGACAGGATAAAGCGGTGGCTTCCCCCCGGGCACCCTTATCTGGCCTTGGGCCTAGGGCTCAGCCAGTTTGCCTGGAGTTAGTACAAGTTTGCTCCGCAACTTGGGGGGAGAAAGAGGGGAAATGGTAACCCCGGCACAAAAGTGGCTCGAAGAAGGCTGGATCAGGGAGACAGCAGGCGCGTCCGCGGGGGACGCCCGGGTCGGCTCCGCACGGCCCCTGCCTGGGCACCGGACTCCTGGGGCAGCCGCTGTCCGCCGCCCCTAGTCCTGCCGGCCGGCGCTCCTCCGGCGGGTTCCTCCTCGGTCAGGCTCGCCGTCCGCCCCTCCTCCCGGGCCCTCCTCCTGCAGCCCGGCCTCCCGGCGCCCCCGCCCCCGCCTCCGCCCCAGCGAGCTAGAAGTCCCGGCGGCTGGCGCAGCGCGCAGCCTCCGCCCCGGCTCGGTGCGCACGCCCGCGGCCCCACGCGAGCCCTGTCCGTCCTGCGCCGCCGTGTCCCGCGCCGCCGAGACCCGCGCACGGCGGCCGCTGCGTCCCGACCGAGTGCGGAGCCCGGCGCGATGCGACTCTCCGGGGCGGGCCGCGCGGGGCTCCTGGTGCTGCTAGCCGCGCACTTCCAGGCGAGTCTAGAGCTGGAGGAGAAGAAAGGTAAGGACGCCCGCGCCGCCGTCCTTCCCGTCCCGGGCGGCCGCGCTTTCCGCCGGGCTGCGGAGGAATGCGCGTCTCGGTTCCGGGCGGCGGGGCAGCCTCGGGCGCGAGGCGCGGCGGGCCGAGGAGCCCGGAGCGCGGCTTTCCCCTCGGCTCTCCTGCCCTCCGCGGGCTGGACGCCCAGGCGAGCGCGTCCCAGCACGTGCGCCCACAGTCTGCCCGGGGACTGAGGCGGGACACGGTGTCCACCCCGCTCCCTCGGACCTCTAGGACCGGAGCGGCCCTCCGCGCCCGGCCCCGCACCCGCGCCCAGCCTCGGTCGGGCTCCCGCCCCAGGGAGCCGTCCTCCCAGAGCCGCCTTGACCTGGAGGCCCGGAAGCTGGTTCCGGGCACCGGCCACCTGTGCTACGGGTCAGGGAGGGCCGAGGTCCCTATTGGCACCAGGGGGCGGGTCGCACAGCGCCTCCATGCCCGGGTGCGGCCCGAGCTGCCCCCGCCGTCCGCGCCCCTCGGGCGGTGGACTCTCCTGAGTGGTGGTTTCCCGGGACTCCCGAGACTCGCCCCCACCTGCAGCCCTTGGGCTGTCCCGGCTTCGAGGTGGATGGGACGGAGCGGTGGGACAGGCCGTGGCCAAACAGCCGGAGCTTGGTGCGAACGCCCCCGGGGCGGAACCCATCCTGGCTGGTTCCCCACGGTTTCAAAACAGGGCTCACAGCAAGCTTTCCTCCTTAAAATCCAGAAATTTTTGTGTTTGCGATGTGTTTTCTAGTTTTGACGAATTTGACATTAAGCCAACCGAAATATTAAACTTAATTTATTTAAAAAACAAATTGATGTCCGTGATTCACGTGTGCCAAATATCCAGACTGAACATGAGCGAGTCTGGCTTCGTGACTGCCGACCATAAACCCACTTGAAATGAGAAACATGCCTCCGAAGGTTTAATTGCACAATTTCAAGATCGAGCAGCTTGGGTTCCGAGAGTCAGGTCTGTACTTGCTGTTGAGGTCATTGGCACAGAGTATGGTGCTGAGCGAGTTTGATGCGGGAGCGCTAAGGCATAAAGCAGTGGTTCCCAAACTTTGTTTCAAATTACGATCACTTGGGATTTGAAACAGAACAAACAAAAAACGATGTCTGGCTCCCACCCCTAGAGTTTGTCATTTTAGTGGTCTGGGGTGAGACCTGGTTGTATGAATTTTTAAAAAGCTCTTCAGGTACTTCTGTTGGGCAGCCAGGTTTGGAAATCACTGGCGATAGAGGTGAAATCTCTGGCAAGACTGCTGCCAATGTAAAAAAGCTCTTTTGGAACATCTGGAGTTTTAACAATCTTGCAAAGGAAAGAGAATGATGATTTTAGTAAAAAAAAGAAATTAGTTTTTTCCATGAAAGTCTCTCCTTCTCTGAGTCCCAGGCTGTGGTCCAGCCCCTGAGTCAGTTGACAACAGGATTCCCGCCCGAGGGCAGGTGACAAGGGGACCCCATCCTTATTTTAAACCCTTGGAGTGCCTCCAAAGCATCACTCTTTTAATCCTTACATCAACCATACAAGTTGGTTCTTGTCATTATATGTGGGGAAACTGAGGTACAGAGAAGTAAAGTGACTTTCCCGCAGCTTGCAAAAGGCAGATCTTATATTCAAACTCTGGCCCTCTGGCCCGGGAGCCCTCACCTAGGCGCTGCCTGTGTTGCTTTGTGTGAGTTCTGATTTTAGAGGAGCCCTGTCAGTGTGTGTGATGTAGGATGCTGGCAGAGGGAGGAAGAAGACGGGATGAGGAAGCCACCTGCCCACAGTCTGAGTACTGGGACTCCTGCTCCCAGTACTCAGGAGGCCCCTTTTGTGGAAGAACTCTGCCACAAAGTGAGCAATGAATGTGGAGATTGCTGGAGGAATGTTGAGCAAGCTCCTTGCTTTTGAAAAACAGAAAGGTGAAGGTACTGTTCCAGAAGTGATCCTGGATGATGGTATTCTCAGCTAGGCCATCCTGCCTGGCCCCTCCTCAGATGATATCCTTGGCTCAGTAGATCTGGGCTGTATAAAAGAGAACAAATTCGGAGATTTTGCATCGTATCCAGGATGAAGCCTCCCTTTCTTTAAGGAGACCAGAGGACGCCCACTCAGTACTGGCCTGGAGGCTGGGAGCCTGTGTCCTCATTCCTGCTCTGTGTGAAGGTGGATGTGTCCCTTGCCAGCTCTAGGTTCTGAGACCTTGTTTCTCAATTCAATGAATGTTTATTGAGTGCATCGCATGTGCTAGACATTATGAGTTAAAAGGGGCCATGGTTATCCTAACGGTTTTTATGGTTTCCAGAGTGGTTCTTTAGGCCAGTGATTAAGTAGTATCTTGCTTTTCAGATCTGGAAAAGAAACCAGCGTCTGTGTGTCTGTCATCTGTTCACACTGTGTAGCTCCATCTAGCAGTAAATGTCTGATAGCTCCCATCGGCTTTGGACTGCCATTTCATGCTTCATATATTTAGTTTCATAGTCCATAAATTTTCAAGAACTTATTCTGAAATTTGAAGACGCCAATTGCCAGAATTCATTGTGCTACATAATTAGAGTCAGTCCATGTGCTGGCACTAACATGTTGTAAAATGTTTTTAGAGGTGGTGTCAATAAAGAGGAAGAATTCTGCCCTGCTTAAAAGAAAATATTCTTTGTTTTTCCTTTGGTCCAAGCTCCAGAACCAGCAGCTAATGTCTGAAACTTTCTTCACAGGAGTGGCAAGCCAGCTCTAACATTAAACTGATGATTATGGTGTTTAAGAGAAGATTGTCCATATTGGTATCCCAAGCCCAGATATGGGAGCAGGATCTGTGATGGGGATACTCAACTTGTAAAAGAACACCTAGAGACTTTCCTGGCCCTTGCCATGTGACTTGCTGTGAAAGTTGTGTGTGTGTGTGTGTGTGTGTGTGTGTGCGCGCGCGCGCGTGCTTTAATTTGGACTTAGTATAGTAGAGATGGGTTTTGGTTTTACTAATGGGGATATGTTTTCAGATAAGGAACAAGTTCTAGGCATTGTTTCCTTGTAGACATAATTCAAAAACTAGATTCTGCTTCTCAAACCCTGTTTTGTTGTCTTCTATCATTTTTGGACATTCAAAATTATAAGAAGCATTTTTTATTTCAGTTAATTGTTACTTGTTTATTTCTGAACCATCAACACATACGGAACAGAATTTACATCTTAGTTTGTTCTTATATGTCATTCCCATTTGCATCAGAGCTTCTGCTCATACCCTCTTTTTCATCTTCCTTCTAAAAGGCTTTTTACCTGAGAAAATTCCAACAGTTTTTTCTTTGCACAATGTCTAAGGGTAGTCTGCCATCCAGCCCATGGGCGTAAGCAGGTGAGCTTGAATTCAGGCAAGGATCCAGGCTTTGAGACTTATGCCAAATAACCGGTTTGACTGAAATTTTCACCTTTTCAGAGTCATCAGGTCCAGCTTCCTTGCAACAGGTTTAAGTAGACACGATCCAGTTGTCTAGAAAGTTCCCTGAGCCAGCTGGGGCAGAAGGGGTGGCTGGGGCTGGTGAGTGTGGTAGCTTGTTTACTTAGCCCCATTAGAAGCTAAGCGCTGAATTTGACATTTTAATCTCTGAAGACACTGAGGTATAATATCAAATGTCTGACCCTGTTGACTGAGCATCTGTGAGTTGCATATGCTTAAAATAAATTTTACTCCTACCAAATTTCAGCAGCTTGCTTAAGAAAGTCATCTGTGAAAGCTTGAGTGTGGGGTAGTTTCCTTCTTTGTTCCACATTATACCCCATTTTGATGGGTTCTCATGGAAAAACCCAGAGTCCAAGTATCTTTTCTGACTGTATCTGGAATGTGCCTTTATCAAGAGTCTTGAATTGCAATTTAGTGAACTAATGATTGGATGAGAATGTCTTGAACACAGTTCTCTTTTTTTTAATTAATTTTTTTATTGAAGGATAATTGCTCTACAGAATTTTGTTGTTTTCTGTCAAACCTCAACATGAATCAGCCATAGGCATACACACATCCCCTCCTTTTTGAACCTCCCTCCCATCTCCCTCCCCATGCCACCCCTCTAGGTTGATACAGAGCTCCTGTTTGAGTTTCCTGAGACATACAGCAAATTCCTGCCAGCTATCTATTTTACATATGGTGATGTAAGCTTCCATGTTACTCTTACCGCACATCTCGCCCTCTCCTCCCCTCTCCCCATGTCCATAGGTCTATTCTCTATGTTTGTTTCTCCATTGCTGCCCTGCAAATAAATTCTTCAGTACCATCTTTTTAGATTCCATATATGTCTTAGAATACAATATTTATCTTTCTCTTTCTGACTTACTTCATTCTGTTCTAGGTTCATCTACCTCATTAGAACTCAAATGTGTTCCTTTTTATGGCTGAGTGATGTTCCATTGTGTATACATACCACAACTTCTTTATCCATTCATCTATCAATGGACATCTAGGTTGCTTTCATGTTCTAGCTATTGTAAATAGTGCTGCAGTGAACAATAGGATACATGTGTCTTTTTCAATTTTGGTTTCCTCAGGGCATATACCTAGGAGTGGTATTGCTGGGTCATATGGCGGTTTTATTCCTAATTTTTTAAGGAATCTCCATACCATCTTCCATAGTGGCTATATCAATTTATATTCCCACCAACAGTGCAAGAGTGTCCAACACAGTTCTTGATACAGCCACAATTGCACCTGTTACTAGGTGGCTAGTAAACATGGCTTGACTTAGTTTATTTTAGTATATTTAATTATTATTATATGAATTAACCACTGTTGTTCTTCCTTTGAGTAAAAAGACAGGTATTATTGTGTACGACAACTTTGGCTTTTATTTGCATTATTTTTTCTTTGTATTCAAGCCATTGTGACAGTTTGCTGTTCAATCCATGGTTTGAGCTCTGGGAATGAATCTGACTTGATACTTGCCCATAAGTGTTTAGAAGTCAAGTAGAGGAAGAGAGAGCTACAGATAACAAGTGTGAAAATGTCACA